GCTCTGACCCCAGGAAGTGGGGGTTAAAGGGGAGGGATCTAGGCTCTGACCCCAGGCAGTGAGGTGAAAAGGGAGGGATCTAGGCTCTGACCCCAAGCAATGGGGGTGAAGGGGGAGGGATCTAGGCTCTGACCCCAGGAAGTGGGGGTGAAGGGGGAGGGATCTAGGCTCTGACCCCAAGCAGTGGGGTGAAGAGGGAGGGATCTAGGCTCTGACCCAAGCAGTGGGGCAAAGAGGGAGGGATCTAGGTTCTGAGACTAGGCAGTGGGGTGAAGAGGAGGGATCTGTGCTCTGACCCCCGGAAGTGGGGGTGAAGGGGGAGGGATCTATGCTCTGGCCCCAGGCAGTGGGGGTGAAGGGGGAGGGATCTAGGCTCTGACCCCAGATAGTGGGGTGAAGAGGGAGGGATCTAGGCTGACCCCAGGCAGTGGGGAAAAGGGGGAGGGATATAGGCTCTGAGTCTAGGCAGTGGTTGAAGAGGGAGGGATCTAGGCTCTGACCTGACCATTCTGCCTTTATTCCTGCACATCTGGAGAAAGGTAGCTTGTATCCTCCTTGGCCTCTGTCTAGACAAAGGTACTGAGGGCTTGCGCCTCTCTGGTGACAGGGACAAGCTCAAAAGCAGCTGTCTCTTCCGGTGCTGCCCCCAAGGGAGCAGAAGTCAACTTCCCATGGACAGTTTGTCCCTGCACAGAAGGTTCCCTGAAGGAGAGTCTGCACCCCAGCCAACCCATGGCCAGATGCACTCACCCCTCCTCGCCAGCCAACCTAGCCTCCAGGGAGATCTTGAGCCACAGTAGCCTGAGGGCTCCCGCACTGGAGGCTTCCGCTGGCTGCTGGCTATGCACAGAAGCAATAGCTGGGCCAAAGGGAAGCCTGGACTACTAGGCCTGGCCATACATCTCCTGGGGTGGGCCCATCAGAAGAGACAAAGGGGCAAGCACAGGTGCCACACAGCCCAGTCCTAGTGCCAGGTCTGCAGCAAGCCTCCCACTGCTCAGAGGGTGTGACACTCTTCTCATGTAGCCCTGCTGTCCCACCTGAGGGGACCTGGGACTTCAGTGCACTCAAGGGCACAGGCCATGGGGTTCAAATAAGATGCAGGGCCAATGGCCCCTTTGACAGGCTTCCCCCAAAACATCCCCTAGGCATCGCTGACTGCACTCCAGCATACAGGATCTCGGCTGATGCCCGATGTGCCAAGCACACGGCACCCACCACAGACTTCTGCATGCAGTCCTCTGTGGGTTCCGGGATCCCCAAGGCTGCTCCCTTGCTTCCTTTGACGCTCCACCTAAACCACTCCGCAGCACCTGACATCATCTGTCTAGGGCCTGGCTCACCTACTAAGGCAGGGACCTGTGCTCTGGGAGGGACAGGGCAGGCTCTGCAGCCAGGCCACCCGGGTTGAGTCTGGACTCTGGCCTGCTCCCAGGGAGTCCCTGAGCACACAGCTGAGCTCTGGGCCTGCTCCTCATCTGTCAAGCTGCTTCAACAGACAGCACGCACTTCACAGGCTGCTGGGGGGGCCATTAAAGAGCAGGGGCTCTGTCACCATTGGTGAGTGACTGGCTTGGACCCAGGGGTACCACTTGGAAAGGCACTGCAGAGGAGTCCTGGAAGGTGGGGTATGGCAATCACAGTCACAGAGGAGCTGGCTGGGGGCTGCAGGGCTGTCCCAGCTTATTGACTGAGCAGCTTAGGGGACAGGGGCCCTGGAACAAAGGTCTCAATGTCACTTATGGGATCACAGCACTGTGACACTTCCAGAGGGAAACCTAGCAGGGTCCAGAGCCTTAGGGATCCTGCTCAGAGCTGTTCTGGCTGCCTGTCAGTCATGTGCCTGGGCAAGCAGTGACTCCTGAGCTACTTTCCATCATGGGTGAGGACACACCTGGCCTCACCCCTTCACTTTGGCGGTTGGGAGAAACCCACCACTGGGCCAGGAATGCTTCTACACCGTGGCTCTTTCTGTGGACCCTCCCCCATTGTGGGACCCTGTGTCCCTCCACATCAGGGACAACCTGAATATGCCCCTCCCCATGGTCCCTGGCCGGGTCTCACACCTCTCCTGGTGATGCAGGGAGATTGCTTCAAAGCCAGGCACCACGTGCCTCGCCTCTCTGCTTCCCTCCTGTGGCACTGGGGCTGCACCTGGCCTCCCTCACATCTCCAGGACTCCACCTTCCCTCCCATCCCAGGCTCAGGGGCCCCCAAGGTCTTCCCTTGATACCTCTTGGCCCCTGCAAAGCCATCCACGTCTCGGCACCGGCTCCGAGGGGCCCATTCCTTCTGGCCTTCCTATCTCCAACTCAGCATGGTCAGGAACTATCATGAGCATCCTGGGACCACCCACTCCCAGGACACAGGTTAGAAAACCACAGACCTGCCACTCATCAGCCCTCCCCCACCCCACCGGCCATCCCTGCTCCAGCTCTAGGGACGCGGAGGGAGCTGGCACAGGTGCGCTCCAGCTCTGGCAGCTCACGGGAGCAAGGTGCTAGCTCCCGCTAACCCTCCACACAAACGGGGCAGATCTGGTACTTCATGTGGTCAACAGTGAGGGAGGAAAATTAAAGCGTGCTTGATAAAGGGTGGCTAATACCACAAGTCCAGGTGGAGTCTCTCTGATCTGAAATGAGGGGGACCAGAATTGTTTCAGGTTTTGAATTTGTTTGGATTTTGGATACTTGCATATACCTAATGAGGCCTCTTGGGGATAGGACCCAAGTCTAAACACAGCCTTCACTTGTGTTTCCCATCCCCTCACGCAGAGCCTAAAGGTCACCGCACAATGTATAGCGGGAATGTGCTCTGACTCCGACCTGACCTGCGAGGTCAGCCGTGATGGAACTTTCCACACCATGTCAGTGTTCACATTTCCGATTTTGGAGCTTTTTTGATTAAGGACACTCGATCTGTACTTGCAAATATTGTATCTGAACTCTTCTCTACTATCTGTCCTTATCCTAGGCCAGGTGTATGAGCACAGAGCTCGAACTTTAGTTACGGTTCCTTCCCTGCCAAGTTGCTACCATCTGTCCAGTAGGTCGGCATTCTTCAGCAGCATGTCTGCCCATGCCCCTCCCCAGTGGTCTGCTGGTCCCCTTCAAAGGTCCCAGTCACAGTACTCGGTACCCTTCCCAAATCACTCAATTCAGTCTCCTCAAGCCATCCCTGGACTCAGAGTGTTGCTACCAAAATGGCTGTTCCTGCTCTCGGCACTGCCCCACTCCCCGTGTAGGGCCTCCTTCTGAGACCTGATAGGGAACCCAGGGGATACCGCCTGCCTTTCTCTTGGCCTTACCACCAGAGTGGACACTGGATGTTCTCTTCACTGGCTGTGTGACTTTAGGCAAGAGAATTAACTTCTCTGTGTCCCAATTTTCTTCTGGCAGAATGGAAACGACACAATGTCTAACAATGCGTAGTACTAAGAACAGCACGTGGTCCTTGCTCAATGCAAGAAAATGTTAAGATGACTACTTCTTTTTTTGGTGGTACTGGGGATTGAGCCTGGGGCTTCATGAGTGCTAGGAAAGTGTTCTACCACTGACCTGCAGCCACAGCCCTTTTTATTTTATTTTGAGATATGGTCTCACTAAATTGCCCAGGCTGGCCTTGAACTTGGGATCCTCCTGCCTCAGCCTCCTGAATAGCTGGGATTATGGGATTAAAGGCCACCTACGCCTATACTAGTCTAGGCTTATTCTTTTTTGAGGGTGGGTGGGGTACCAGAAATTGAACCCAGGAGCGTTTAACCACTGAAACACATCCCCAGCTCTTCTGACTTTTTATTTTGAGACAGGGTATCACCATTTTTGCTTAGGGCCTTGCTAAGTTGTTGAGTCTGACCTTTAACTTTCTATCCTCCTGCCTGAGCGTCCTGAGTCACTGGGATTACAGGGGTACAGGTATGCGTCACCATGTCCTATGACCTATTCTTCAAAATTAAAAGAAACCTAAAATAAGCCCCTGGCCATGATGCTCTGATGTGGCTGCACCTCCCTCCCTTGACAGTGCTTCTCCTGATCTCTGATTTGCAGTTGGTGCCAGATCCCCGCCTGGAGTCCCTCTGCATGATGCTTTTCCACCCAGGATTCGCACATCCTTAGAGACTTCTGCTGTGGCTCCATAGCTAAATCTCAGCAGTCCTCTGCACCTGGCTGCTCAGGATGATCCTACTGGGTCACTAGGGCACCTTTGGGCTGCCATGTGCTGCTTTGTCCTCTGACACAGCCCTGCCCCCACCGCCCATCTGTCTGGAGGCCAGGGCTGGTCTCACTGGGCTATGCATCTTGACAACCAGCTGGGGCACAGTGACGGTGGCTCAACTCCCCTTAAGGCCTGTCCTGTCCTCTCCCTCCCCTGAAGCAGTGGCAGGACACACTGCCCTCCCCTCCTCCCCCACCCAGGGACCAGCAGGCCTGGTGATACTATCAGCTCTCTGTACCCCACGGGTTCCACACTGTGGATTCAAACAGCGTTGGATTGAAAATCTTCAGGAAAATAAAATTGCATCTGTACTGCACATGTAGAGATTTCCTTCTTGTCTTTAATCCTTAAACAACATGGTATAACAATTAATTACACAGCATTTATGCTCTATTAGGTATCAGAAGTCATCTAAAGATGATTTAAAGTATACTGTTGAAGTCAGGCATGGTGGTGCATGCCTGGCTGGAGTTCCAGCTACTTGGGGGGCTGAGGTAGGAGGATCATTTAGGTCCATGAACTAGAGGCGAGCATGGGCAGCACAGCAAGACCCCATCAACAACACACACCAATGCACACATATGCATAGGTTAGACTGCAAATACTCTGCCATTTTATAAAAAGGATTTGTATCTGTGGGGGTCCTGGAACCTACACCCTGTAGATGGGGGGGACACAACTGCACTAGCAGGTCTTCCCACCCTCTCCTTAGGGGTCTGAAATGACAAAACTGGAAGTTCTTTAGAGATCTTCTAGTCAAAACGCTTCATTTTACAGAAGGACACTGAGGCCAAGGACTCACTATGTGGCACCTAGGACAGCACAGGAAGAGTACCAGGTGTCTGCAGGCCTTGTCCAGGGCAAGAACCCCACCCTACCTGAAGCAGTCTGCGTGCCAGTCAGCGTTCAGGGCCTGGAGGTACTGGCCGTCATAGATCCTCTGGCCGCAGCTCGCACACACGGGCAACTCACTTCCTGCAGGGAGGAAAGGGAGTCAGGAACCATTCTCCAGAGGTGCAGCTTGGCACAGGCCCAGCCTGCCCTGCTGACCTCATGCGAATGTGCACAAATCCCAGGGCACAGCACCCAGGCTAAGCAGTCCTTGTGACAAGCGAGAAGAGAAAGGACAGTGGTCTGAGTCTTGCTGAGCTACTAAGCCTCTCTGGGTCTTAGCACCCCTATCTGTAAACTGAGGAGGAGGATCGGATGTCCACTGTCCAGCAACAACATTCTTTAACTCAGGTTCTGGCAAGGTAAACCAGGAGAAAGCAGTGGGGTTTGGAAATAAGGTGGAGGGTGACAATCTTGTCCCTTTCCTCCCTTGACAGCCCAGGAAAAATTGCTTAGAGGCCCTTCAAAGGGCAGCAACTGGACAGGACTGGATTGGCGCATCCTACGCTGGGAGGGGACAAGCAGGAAGCCCAGAGGTGCTGGCTCTAACTGAAGCTTAGCCATGCCCTGACTTGACAAGGGGCTGGGGCTGCAGAGCCAGCCACTTGGTATGCTTAGTCATCCCAGGGCCCTGGAGCTAGCAGACCCTATAAGACATCCAGGTTTGCCTCTTCCCATTGTACAGATGGGGAGACTGAGCTCTGGAGAGGGCAAGGCTTGCCCTATCTTACAATCAGGCTCCAAAGCAATGACTTACTTCTTTTGAGTACCCAGGGACCTAAGGAAGGTGCAATAGTGAGGTGTCCCTGTGCTCCAGGCAGGTGCTCACTGGCCTGGATAAAGACTGGTGGAAACCCCAGGGGAGAATGGAGCTGGCCCATTAGGACCCAGCTTGCAACTGAATGGATCTATGTGAGGAGTCAGCAAAGGAAACCCAGAGAAGGAGACCCCCCGACTCCGTGGGACTGGGATTCTTGGGGGTCTTTGAACCCTAATTGTTGTGCAGCCCTAGCCCTTGGGTTCAGCAAAGGGGAAAGGGCTAAAGAGAAGCTAGAAGGCAGTCACTCCCCCAGCCAAGATAATGGTAGGCACCTGGTTTGGTGCAGGGGGAGGGGGAGGGGTCCCGCAGTGGCAGTATACAGCCACCGGTTCTCAAGAAGCAAATTCCCTCTCTTCCCGTCCAGCTCCCAATCACAAGTACCGGGGACTGACCGCCTGGTCCCCAACTGGACACACTGGGAAACTGAGGTCCAGGGTATTGGCGCCTGGCTCAAGGTCACGGAACCCGGCCGCGCGGGGTGGCGACTGGAACCCGGGGCTGCGGCTCCTCCAGCCGCTCTTTATTCCCTAGGCCGGGTTCGACTCCGGATAAGCGGTGGCTCAGGGTGAACGGAGCACGCGGACGGAGGCCGGCGCCGGGTGGGCAGTGCCGGGATGGCGGGCCGCCGGGAAGGGGCACCGCCGGGATGAAAGGGAGGAGGGGCGCTCCGCCAGCGCCGGCGGGAGAGCAGCCCACCCGGGCG